GCCAAGACATTAATCTTCATTTAGTTCAGGATCGTTCTTGCTGCCTGAATGGTACTTTTAACGTAAACATACAGTAAAAAATAAAAGTTTAAAATAAAAGCTTTTAAAATAACAACTTAATTAAAACATATTTTATAAGTTGTGTACCATTAGGCTATGTGTTCATACTGAATTTCGAGCTGTGTAGTTTCCTTCTCTTCTTTAACAGGCTATATGATATAATAGTTTATTGTAATATTATATTGTAATTTTGATGATACTTAAAGAAGTTCTAGTATCTGCACTAGCTTTGATGATACTTAAAGAAGGTCTAGTATCTGCACTAGCCTAATACATGCATAATTTCACCTGTCCACTGATCCATTTTTTAAACACAAATTTGGTTCAATAATAATTGAACCAACAGTAATAATTTTTTATTTAATATGTTGTAATTTAAGGGGATTTTACTAAATATTACTAAAATATTTATTAAAATATTTATCCACCATTTATCATCTGTAACACTATCGTGTAACCACTAGATAGCTGTTTGGCTCTCTATATATAAACATGACTGTGTGTTCCCTATAGTGGCTGGGAACTTTGGATTCCCACATAATTAGTTACTTGTATTTGGATATATATTTAGACATTATTAAAGACATATTTATCAAAGTTTTTGCATTAGTCAAATCTGGACACAAAGAAAGCATTTTGTTACTCATTCTTGCTTCATATAATAGCTTGATCAGTCACATGAAAGTAATCAGTGTTAAATACCATAAACAGAAACATGGTCTGAAAAATTGACAAATTCATATTTAAGTAGCTTTATTGGCATAGTAAAAAGGTTTTACAAAGTATATCACTCTGATACCATAGTGTTGAGCATTGTCACATATCATTTTGATTATAAAGTTTAACATCAGCTCACTGGTGTAAGCAGATTATGACATTTCAACATAAAGCCAAACCAAACCAAATAATGTTAACACCGGCTTGCAATTCAGTATGAACTCAAGGGAGTCTAGCCTAAAGGAACACAGCTTATGAAAGGAGCATATTTTAATGAAGTTGTTATTTTTTTATTAATTTTTTTTACTGTATGTGTACGTTAAAAGTACCATTCCGGCAGCAAGAACGATCCTGAACTAAATGAAGATTAATGTCTTGGCGTATGATGTGTTTATTGAACCAATCAGATAAGAGTAAATGGAGAGTCAGCGAGAGCCTCATTTGATTGGCTACAAGAAGGTGGCCCCGCCCTCCCCCTCACACTCGCAAAACTCAGTTAGCGAGAGAATCGTGCCAAAATTGTAAGCGCAGAGAAAAGAAAGACGTAGCTGTACATATTGGTTTATTTCGGGAACTTTTTGCCCCACATGCACAACAAGTTATATAGACATTTGCAACAGTTAGTTTTTTTTACACATACAGATTGGTTCTATGCAGTCAATCCGTTTTGCAGTTCTTTAAACTGTTGTTTTCGCTTGCAAATCACTGTTTACAGGCTTGCAGTGCTTTTGACCGTCTTTTGGTGAAAAAAAACGTGCCAAAAGTGTAAGCATGGAAAAATGGAAGTCAGAAGCATGCAGATCATATTTATTTTGCGTTAGCATGAAGCTGCAGTTTCACAATATATGAATTACACTTACGAATAACAGTAAAATGCTGCAAAAAATTTTTTTCTTGTGCTTGAAACACGATTTACACCTTTATAAAGCTTCTCTTGCGCATGCAAATTTACGCTTACAGTCTTATGTACACTTCCAAAACTCTTACCCTGCGTATGCAAATCTTTTTGACACCATTCTACCTTCATACCATCTAATTTCAAAAATCTTGCAAACTTAGTCGAATTCAGCTGTGAGATCTTATGAAGTGTGCATTTGTATCCTGCACGATCGTGTGTACTCTGAAAAAATTACTTTAATGTCTTTAAAGCGTTAACAGATTTTTTTTTCTTTTGTTTAGTAGCCTATAATTTGGCCAAAATCTAGAAAAGATGATGCTGTATTGGCTGTGACTAAGCACAGCGGGTTAAGATACTAGATTTTATTTTCTTTTCTTTTTTTGAGTAGAAAACGCTGTACTTTATTAATATTATTATGCTATTATTATTATTATTATTATAGGCAAAGAAAAAGTTTAAAAAATAACGTTATTAACCGTTATTTTTTCTAGGCAAACCAGTTTCGGAACGATAATAATGAAGAGGAACGCAGAAACAGAAACGTTAAAATATCGATTCTGCGATTTTTTTCGTTTTCAAGCCCTGGCAGCAACACTTCACACACAGTTCCAGCAAGCTCAATAAACTTTGATCGCATCTCATGAACAGGTTAGAGTAAAACACAGCATCATTCCAGCACACAAGCGAGTGTGATGTGTGTGTTTCTCTCCTCTCTCACCTTGATGGTGTCGTACGTGTCGGTGATGAGCGTGATGAACAGACTGAGCACCATGTAGATGAACAGAGACACAAACGTGTAGAGATACAGGCGGCTGAAGAGCCACACCACGTCACTCTTCTGCTGCATGTTCTTGAAGGTGGCGAACATGTCGTCGCCGTTGATGAGGGAAAACAGACTCTCGGAAACTACGTTCAGCGTCCGGAACTGATGGACAACACAGACATACAGCTGTCATGCATTTCCCATTCCACACAGGAAATGATGCACACTTTCCGGTAACACTTTATTTTAAGGTGTCCTTGTTACACGTTACATGTACTTACTATTATAATAACAATTAATTATGCATAATTACATGCAAGTAACCCTAAGTCAAACCCTATAATCCTAAACCTAACCATATAGTAAGTACATGTAGTTAATTAATATTACTCAGTACTTAAATGTATAATTACACTGTAACAAGGACACCTTCAAATAAAGTGTAACCCACATTCCTTCTGGCTTATTAATTCTTTACATCACAAATGGAAGAAAACAAAATTAATCAGTGTCATTTTACCATTTCTTATTATATAATAAATTACTATACATTATATAGTATTATACTATTTATTTAGAACTATTTTTAATAAATTGTAATTTTAATTTCACTAATTTTGGCTTTTTTTTTTATACAACAATACTTTTTTCTTTTGCCATTTTTCTTTTTTTATTCTTATATATATATATATATATATATATTAATGCTACCAATTTAAGATTTTTTCCTTTATTTATACTCATTTTATTTTAATTATTTGCCAATGCAACATTTTATAGAAGCCCAATTCTGCCACAGGATCAAAATTACAAAATTTTTCCCCCTTTTTTACTCAATTCCAAGTGTATATCTTTCAATTCAGAATTTTTCTATGAACTGCAACTTTATTTTCTCTAATTTTTAAGTTTATATCTTTTATTTATTTTTTTTTTTCTTCCTTTGATTTGTGAGATATACACTTGCAATTGCAAATTTATAAGTCAAAACTGCAAGATACAAAGTCTCAATTCTGAGAAAAGTCATAAACTGTGAGATGTAAACTCGCATTTACCTTTAAATTTTTTTTATAAATTTTATTCCATGGCAGAAACAAGCTTCCATAACATTTTTCCTTTTTTTTTTTTTTTTTACGTTTTTCATCATATATTTCTATTTACAACAGTTATGAATAGTTTTACTTTTACTTTACAATAATAACACTGATCTTAATGATTTGGGATTTTCTGTAAGATAATCATTCACTACCTAATAGTATGGAGTTAATAATACATAATTAATATTGATTGTGAGAGTTACACATCTGTACTGTTTACCCTGTTTACCATTTACACGTTCTCCTGATTGAAACAGTAAGTATATACATTAATATTATGTAATGATTTCAATGATTTCAT